CGAGGTTTACAATCTGGCGGCTCAATCTCACGTTGCCGTTTCTTTTGAGATCCCTGATTACACGGCTGACGTGGTGGCTACCGGAGCTCTCCGGTTGTTGGAAGCCGTTAGATCCCATATCCGCGCCACGGGTCGGAATCATATCAAGTATTACCAAGCTGGATCGTCCGAAATGTTCGGATCCACCCCTCCACCGCAATCTGAAAACACTCCGTTTCACCCCAGATCTCCATACGCGGCTTCCAAATGTGCTGCGCATTGGTACACCGTGAACTACAGGGAAGCCTACGGGATTTTCGCATGCAATGGGATTCTTTTCAATCACGAATCCCCGAGGAGAGGAGAGAATTTCGTGACCCGAAAGATTACCCGGGCTGTCGGGAGGATCAAGATTGGGTTGCAAAACAAGTTGTTTTTGGGGAATCTCCAAGCTTCGAGGGATTGGGGTTTTGCTGGGGATTACGTGGAAGCTATGTGGATGATGCTGCAACAAGAGAAGCCGGACGATTACGTGGTGGCGACTGAGGAGTCGCATACGGTGGAGGAGTTTCTGGAAGTGGCATTTGGGTCTGTTGGGTTGAACTGGAAAGATCACGTGGTGATTGACAAGAGGTATTTCAGGCCTGCCGAGGTGGATAACTTGAAAGGCGATTCAAGCAAGGCAAGGAAGGTTCTTGGGTGGAAACCCAGAGTTGGATTTGCGCAATTGGTGAAGATGATGGTTGATGAAGACATTGAGTTGGCTAAGAGGGAGAAAGTATTGGTTGAGGCTGGTTATATGGATGCCCAGCAACAGCCTTAATTCAGAAATTTTCTTCTTGGATGATATAGTCGGTGTTTAAGAACATGGTATTTATTTAATTTAAAGCTTTATGCGGTTTTATCCATTTAATTCCCCAGAAATTTATAATGATGTCACGGTTGAGCCTGAAATTTGTAGTTTAAGTTTTGATTATGTCATGAGAATGCTGGAATCTTTTAGATCTCATCATCCGAGTGTACAAGATCTGAAAATGATACTTTGTTCCTGTTGTAATCTGTTTTTGGTATCACTACTTTGGTTGCTACTTCAGCAAGTGACACAGCTACACCCACCACTTGTGGATTCGTAGTTATCGTGTCATGTGATCGTCATAGCTTATTTTTGTCGGCAGGGCCTCGCCTTTAACTCACAGCTGCTTCACATTTAATCCATAAAATTACTCCGCAATCTGTATTCAAATAGTTTGAGCTTTATATTTATATAATATTTCATATTTTCGATTGATTAAAAAAAATAACCGAAATTTAAAAATTTTCTTAATCGTTATCCGATCTAATATTAAATTAATCGAATTAAATTTTGATTAGGTCCATTACTTTAGTTAAAACCGAATAATAAACACTCCTAATTTGAGAGATAATTTATTAAAGTATAATATTGAAACAAAAAAAATTAGGAAAAAATTAGCTTGTAGGATAAATTAATATCTTTTTAAAAATATTTTTAAATTCACATACATGTTAGTAATTTTTATTTAATAGTCACATACATGTTACTTATCTTGGGACCATTTAAATAAAATATATAAATTTTATAGTTTGAGAGTATCAAATTAATTTAATGTTAAAATATGTTAATAAAATTTTATTTAAAATAAGAAGAAATTTAAAAAAAAAACTTTCAAATATTCGAACGGACTAAAAAAGTTCAAAAAAATTCCGAGAGTCCATTAACAAGATTTTAAAATCTTGGAGGGCCATGGCCCATTGGGTCCTTCTTAAATTTCTCATTGTTATTTAACGATAAATAAATTAAACTACATGGTTATTAATAATAATTATCATTGAAAATGATAGATTAATAAAGTTTGAAATTTTTAGGATTAGTAAAATAATAATCGTTCAAATTATAATTTAAATTAATTTTAGATGTACAAAGATTTTTTCGTTAAAAATAAGTGTTTAACATTTTTCTATTATACTTTTTAGGAGTTTATACAATAACAATCATTAAAAAATATTTAAATAACATGTCACATATATATTAAATTTTTAATTTTTTAAAATTAAGATTATTATTGATTTAAAAAAACCCAAATTTTTCTGAAAATATCAAAGAAATTATATCTCTAAAGTCTCTCATTTGAATCATCGTATTACCAACAAATGTCGTACATCATCAACCGTCTTTATCATCAAACAATCATCACCCATTATCGGACCTTCACAACTTACCATCTCTTTTACCGTTGTTTCAATACCTCTAAATCTATAAATTCTTAAATTTAAATCCCTAAACATAATATTTAAATCTCTAACTCTAATGCACGTACAAGTGGCCTCCGTGGTAAAAGAATTGTTGTTATTACTGAGAATTCGGGTTCGAACACCATAGATTCCAAGGGTGTGAACAATAAATCTTGAAAGAGTGAGAATTATCTTTAAATATATACTACCTTATACTTATCCCAAATTAATAATAATAATAAAAATCTTTGAGTCTAGATTCAAATTTATCATTCGTAATCAATCTTGTTGTACGAAGAGATGGACTACTTTACTCTAGGGGTGTGTTTGGTTCATGGAATGTAGTATTACCTCCGGGAATAGGATTACCTGAATGTAACATTACATAACACATTACTGAGAATGTTGCATTGTTGTGTTTGGTTCATTTAGCAATAATGTAAGATTATAATGTTTGGTTAAAGGAATAAAATATTATTGGAATGTATATTTTACCAAATTATCCTTATTATATATCGGTTTTTTAACAAGCTGAATTGTAAATATTCAAATGAAAATATTTATATAAAAGATCATAGAAAATTTATAATTTTACTATTTTTAATTTATATATTTTCTTTAAAAATTTAAATTCATAAAATTTATATACTTTTTTTACAAAATTTAAAAGATAAATAGGTTTAATGAAAGGGTTTTTTTTATTTTAACCTCTGAACTTCACATAAAATTCTAATTATGAATTTTTTTTTGTAAATCTAAAATAGTTTAAAGATAAATTTACAATTTAACCTTCGTAGAATTTTTTTATTTAACGGCAGAAGAATGATATTTTTGAAAAAAAAAATTGTTAAGGGCATTTTAGTCCAAAACACCGAGAATGTAACAATACCTAAGGAATTAGGAGAATCACATTCCCGGTAATAAGCCCCCAAAATTACACTATTGGGAATGACTTATTACCGGGGTTGAGAATCTTTGCAATCCAAATAGGGAAGTGGGAATAAAAGATTATTAGGGAATAAAATTACTGAGAATGTTGTTTTTTGTGTTTGGTTGGTTTAGCAGGAATGTAAGATTACTGTGTTTGGTTAAAAGAATAAAATATTATTAGAATGTATATTTGACCAAATTGTCCTTATTATATATTGTTTTTTTAACAAGTTGAATTCTACTATAATATTACTATAAGATATTTATATGTTTTCTTTAAAAAATTTAAATTCATAAAATTTATATAATTTTTTTACAAAATTGAAAATATAAAAAGGTTTAATGAAATGGTAAAAATTTTATTTTAACCTCTGAACTTATTATAAAATTTTAATTATATATATATTTTTTGTAAATCTAAAATAGTTTAAGGATAAATTTGTAATTTAACCTTCGTAGATTTTTTATTATTCAATATCAGAAGAAGTATATTTTTGGGGAAAAAAATTAAGGGCATTTTAGTTCAAAACTCCGATAATCCAACAATACCTAAGAGAATGGAGGTAATGACATTCCCGATAATATACCCCAAAAAATTCACTGTTGATAATCTTACATTACCGGTTAACCAAACGGAAAAAAGTGAATTTCATCCCCATAGAAATCCTACATTCCCCGAACCAAACAGCAATTAAAAGAATTTCCCTTGCATTGAATATTGAAAATAACGGTTGTCTACCAAAGAAGACAATGTAAGAGAGGGTTGTTCCGACGAATAGTCTGATGCGTGTGTAACGCTGAGCTTGGAGAATTTATTTTAGAGAAATTATTTTTTAAAAGAAATAATTTCTTTTTAAAATAAAAAATTAAAAAAATATGATATGTGTCATTTAATATTTTTTTAACGATCGTTTCAATATATGCACTTAAGTATAACAAATAAAACATTAGACACCTATTTTTAACGAAAAATTCATGAAACACTTAAAGTTAACTTAAAATATAATTTGGACATCTAATTTTATATTAAACCTTTTTTATATAAAAATTACTAAATTTATTTAAAAATCAAATACTTAGAATTACAATGAATGTTTATAAGTATAGTCACAAATTAAAAATATAATTATGACATTTTTTATAACAATTAACATAAGAAATTAATCACTTAATATTATATAATGACCATAAAAAATGTTAAAAATGTAATAAAAAATTTGAATATAGATAAAAACGAGCAGATCTGATTGCATTAATAAATATATCATAAAAGATAATTAAACCATTGAAATATCACCGTCTAATCATAAATAAGAGATAAGTGATATAAGAAAATTATTGAAAAATAAGAGTTAAACCACTCAAATACCACCGTCTAAATTTTATGAATAAAAAATTGAAAAGAAAAAAAAATAATGAAATAGACCGTCTCTCTTCGACACCTTCAAATTACCCGTAAACTGTAACCATTTTACTTCATTTTAATCACATTATATTAACCTCTTCCTTAGCTACGGTCTCGCCTAATTTTCATGTCAAAAATCAAAGGCAATCCCAAAAATTGGAAGATACAAAAGTCACTCAGAAAACACACCCAAGTGGAATTAAGAAAGAAAACCAGGCCTTACCGACGTCAAAGCCTATCTCAATGCTGCAAAAAGCTACGCCGTTTTGGGCTACTAAAAATAGCCGACTAAATAAACGCTTCGATTTTCTTCCAAGTGTACGTCTCCGATTATTCTCAGTCCACGTTAGCAATCCCCATGACATCCAACCAACCAATCATATAATGACACTCTTGTCTGCGCAGATCCCACGACGCTATAAATTCCGACTACTGCCATTTCCAAGGGGTATTACCCCAGCAAAACCGTTCCTCTGGACTCTTCCATTGTTTCTGTTAAAAATAGTCACTTGTGAACACCGATGGCAACCGCAGAACCCGAAGTTCCGGTCACCGAGCAGCCTCTTCAGGCGGAAAAGCTTGTGAAGGAGAAGAAGCCGAAAGTTACAAAGGAGAAAAAGCCTAAGCAACCAAAACCCGCTGCTCACCCTCCTTACTTCCAGGTATTTTTCTTATCCCTTTAATCTTTGTCTGTGGTGCTTTTGTTAGTTGATTAAGGGTTTGTTAATTGTTATTGTGCAGATGATAAAAGAGGCGATTCTGGCTTTGAACGAGAAGAGTGGTTCGAGTCCGTACGCAATAGCCAAGTACATGGAGGAGAAGCAGAAGGCGGTGCTTCCAGCGAATTTTCGAAAAATATTAGCTCTTCAACTTAAAAACTCTACCGCCAGAGGCAAACTGATAAAGATCAAGGCCTCTTACAAGCTATCCGAAGCTGGTAAAAAAGCAACGAAAGCTAAAACAGAGAAGAAAGCAAAGCCAGCTGCGAAGCCGAAGAAAGCAGAGGCTACAAAGAAACCGGCAAAGAGAGTTGGAGCTAAGAAGAAATCAACTCCTGCAAAACCAAAGCAGCCTAAATCCATCAAGTCAGTCTCCGCTAAAAGGGCCAAGAAGACCACTGCGTAGAACCAATTTGTAGAAAGTTTTAAAGCTATGTATATATATAGTCATCCACTCTCTTTGTGATTATCTTATAAGTGTTGTTGTTTGTGCTTTTGAGCTGCAATGGAGAAGTGACTTTTCTATGTATGAAAATCTCAATCTTAAATAACAATGAGCCCAATATTCCACACTTGGTGTCATGGACATAATGATCATGATCATATTTGATTGATACCGTGACAGCTGATGGAATGGTCTGTATTTATTGGTTCAATGAGTGGAACTGGGTGGAGATGGAGGTTGTAGATTGTAAGTGGAATTGGATTCTGCTTTTCTTTGGGCCCTTTCATCTCTCTTGTTCCCGAATATATAGTCGACACCTGTTTGGAGTTGGGTTATGGGGGTCTTTTTCTAGAATCCGAATAATATTTAGAGTATTATTTTGGATAATAATACTTTTGATTAAATATTGAAAGTATTGAAATAATAACTCGTAAATGTTAAGGTTTAAATTTATATAAGGGTGATTTTTATAAGTTACCAATTAACAATGTGAAATAAAATGTATATAAGGTCAAGGTGAGATAAAATGGGTAATTTTTATAATTTAACCGATTAACAATGTATGTAAAATAATATTGAGCAAGAATGAGTAAAATTTGATTTGATTAAAAATGTTGATTTTTTTTGTTTAATTTGATTTGAATAATTTTGATTCTTAATTTTATAAATTTGATAAAATAATTTAAATTTGAATTGTGTCGTAACCGTCTTTCGGTTGGGCCCCAGAATTGGGCTTCGACTTGAAAAATGTGATTGGAGTCGCCACCGATTATTTATTTAAAAAATAAATAGGTTAATCGGATACCTTATATCTTACCTGATCTGCGTCTTACCAAAGATATGTCGGATTCGGGAGTCGATTACGGTCAAGGAAGGATTAGCACCCTTGAACCGTCCTTTCGGTACTACATAATTTGCCGGTTGTCTTAAATTAAGAAAATTGTAATTTAAAATTAAAAGGTAAAAATACGATCACAATTACTTACCTTAGATAGTTTTAAAGGTGTGGCCTTAAGAAGGTCAAAAAACCATGTTAGATAAAAAGGTAAGAAATAAATAAATTAATTAAATTAAAATAAAGAGAAAACAAAGATAAAATAGTAAGTAAAATAAATATAAAAAATAAAGAAAAAGAAGAAAAAGAAATAAAAATAGAAATAAAACAAATAAATAAAAAAAGTAAAAATAATATATATAAAAAATAAAAAAATAAAAAAGTAAATATATATATATATAAATTAATAAAACTGATAATAAAAAATAATATATTTATATATATAATCTAAAAAAAATAAAAATATATACTAAAGTAAAAAAGAAAATACATAAAATGTAAAAAAAAAATATTACATGAAAAAAAAAGAAAAAAAATAACAAAACAATTAAATAAAATGAGTAACAAGAGAAATGTGCTTATAAATAAAATTAAATAAATAAAATAATAATAATTAAAACGTAAATGTAAGAGACCAAATCAAAAGTAAAAAAGATACTACCTTTTATTTATTTTTGAATCGTTTACAATAGCTTTGCCTTTGTATCTTCTCGTGTTTTCCTCTATGTTTTGTGTGTAAATCGTGTCTTACAATGGTGAGTTACAATGGCTATTTATAGTGCTTATGGATCCTATCTTTAGGAGTTTAAATCATAAAATTCTATCCTATTTTTTGAATCCTAGCAAAATTCTATCATATCTTTAGGAGTTTGAATCATAAAATTCTATCCTATTTTTAGGAGTTTGAATCCTAGTAGGACGAAAAATGTGTGTTGACAGCTGCCCCTCTTTGCCCATAGTCGTGTAACGGGGATAGGGCAAAGATTAAAAGACACACTTTTCGTTCAGTGGAGTTGAAAATTAACTCTGATGTTTCAATAACTCCCTGTCGAATTGAGTTACGGATGACTCCTCCGTCGTGAAGTCGAGTTCATCTTGAAATGATATGAAATTAAAGCCGTAGTTCGGAATTTGAATCAGCACGTGGCTTCCCGTTACCCTTCGGTCTTCTTCTCGGTTTAAAGACCTTGGATCGGAATAGAACTGAGAAATCTTCATTAACAGATAGCTTTTTCTTGACTTAAGCTATGCTGTTTGAAAATGTTTGCTTGTCACTAAGGCACGGCTAACCCAGGTCCTCTCCTCGACTTGAAAACCTCGACTGCAACCGGAAAGTAGTGCGATTGATGTGTCATCGAGCTGAATGGAGTCGAACTCGACAATTTTGATGGCAAATAATCCTTCTTTGAGTTGGATATCCTTCGTCGTGAAGTTGAAATCCAAGTAAGTAGCATTGTTCCAAGTCCAATATCCTCCGTCGTGAAGTTGAAATTGGCTCTGGAGCCGGAAAATTGTTTGTTGACAACCAGCCGTCCCTTCGTTGTGAAGTTGAACTTGTGTTGTCTCGAGTCCAATATCCTTCGTTGTGAAGTTGAGATTGGCTCCGAAATTGTTTGTTGACAGTCAGCCGCCCCTTCGTTGTGAAGTTGAGCTTGTGCTGTCTTGGGTCCAATATCCTCCGCTGTGAAGTTGAAATTGGCCCTAAAACTGGGAAATTGTTGTTGACAACCAGCCGTCCCTTCGTTGTGAAGTTGAACTTGTGTTGTCTCGAGTCCAATATCCTTCGTCGTGAAGTTGAAATTGGCTCTGAGATTGGGAAGTTGTTGTTGACAAGCAGCGGTCCCTTCGTCGTGAAGTTGAACTTGCATTGTCTGGAGTCCAATATCCTTCGTTGTGAAGTTGAAATTGGCTCTGAAATTGGGAAGTTGTTTTTGACAAGCAGCGGTCCCTTCGTCGTGAAGTTGAACTTGCGTTGTCTGAAGTCCAATATCCTTCGTTGTGAAGTTGAAATTGGCTCTGAAATTGAGAAGTTGTTTGTTGACAACCAGCCGTCCCTTCGTTGTGAAGTTGAACTTGTGTTGTCTCGAGTGCCACGATATCCTCCGTTGTGGAGTTGAAATCGTGGATGGCCCCTTCGTTGTGAAGTTGAGCCTTGACTTGAATATCCTTCGTCGTGAAGTTGAAATCCAAGTATTGTATGTTGCGGGTGGACACAATTCCCTTCGCCGTGAAGTTGAAACCGTGGAGACCCCTTTATTGTGAAGTTTGGCTTCGAGCTAGATATCCTTCGTCGTGAAGTTGAAATCCACTCTCGAGCAAATTGTGTCGCTTTGAGTTCAATATCCTTCACCGCGAAGTTGAAATTGACTCTAGCTAAAACCTGAAAAAGTTATGCATATATGTGATGCTATGGATGCAATGCTCTTAGGTGTGCCTAAAATGCATATGCAACATATGTTATCTTGGGGCTCTTGAGAGACATCTCGATCACCAGTTGCCTGTCTGGAATCTTGATTCTTGAATCTTCAAATTTTGATCCCTGATCTTGAATTCTTCAAATGTTCAAATCTGATGTGCACATTTTATTTTTTTGATTTGAGAAATGCTATCCCAAGTATGTGTCTGAGCTGAGTGTAACGGTTCAGATGATGCTTCAAGAGAAATTGTCTCAAAAGAGACAGACTTTTGTTTCAAGAGAAACTGTCTCAAGAGAGACGAAATTCATTTCAAGGGAAATATTTTCAATGTTTATGTTTCAAGAGAAACTATCTCAAGAGAGACGAAATTCATTTCAAGGGAAATGTTTTCAATGTTTATGTTTCAAGAGAAACTGTCTCAAGGGAGACAAAATTTTGTTTCGAGGGAAACTATCTCAAGAGAGACAAAATTCATTTCAAGGGAAATATTTTCAATGTTTATGTTTCAAGAGAAACTATCTCAAGGGAGAAAAAATTTTGTTTCAAGGGAAACTATCTCAAGAGAGACAAAATTCATTTCAAGGGAAATGTTTCCAATGTTTATGTTTCAAGAGAAACTGTCTCAATGGAGACGAAATTTTGTTTCAAGGGAAACTATCTCAAGAGAGACAAAACTCATTTCAAGGGAAATGTTTTCAATGTTTATGTTTCAAGAGAAACTGTCTCAAGGGAGAAAAAATTTTGTTTAAAGGGAAACTGTCTCAAGAGAGACAAAGTTTGTTTCAAGGGAAACTGTCTCAAGAGAGACAATGGTGAGCATGATTCCCTTCGTCGTGAAGTTGAAATCGTGGGTGGACCCTTCGCCGTGAATTTAAGCCAGGAATTGGATATCCTTCGTCGTGAAGTTGAAATCCAACTTGAAAATGCGAACTGGATTGGTTCTGAATTATCTCTCGAACTCGTCTGAAGTTGATTCTAAGATCTGTTGATCTTTCAATATGTCAAATTGGTTGAAGTGTAGCTTCTTGCTGCTGAGTTAAGCAACCAACATCAATCTTTAAAGGTGCTTTTGAATCGAGTATCCTTCGTTTTGAAGTCGAAACTTAACTCTAAAAGCTGCAAAAATTATGTATGTGGGAAAAAATGATGCTCTAAAATGTTTGCATAAGATGCATATAACATGAATTGGTTATATTTTATCTCTTGAAAAGGCCTGATAATTCGTATTAGGATGTTGAATCCCCAAAGATGCCCAAAAAATGCCCCAATATTTCATGTTGAATCTTCAAAGATGCCCCAAATGTTCCTCATTTCTTGCTTCAACATTGATTCTGAGCATGAGTTTTGTGTCTAAGAGTCACATGTCATTTACCAAGATTCACTCTAGAGAGTCTGTCTTGTTTGAAAAAAATGTTTTTCTTTCTCTTTTAATATCAATTAAAAGAGTTTCAAAAAATGTTTAATCCCAAGTTTTAAAAATATTGCCCCTTTCACGATTTTACAATGAGACGAATCATAAAACTAGAGTTCATTGGATATCAAAGAATTAATTACAATGTTAATCCTTCAATAAATTATAGCTATTTGACAAGTGTCAAGATCAAAACTATCTTTGAGAGATGGTCAAGTAAGGAAAGGATAAAAAGTCTCAGGTCATTGTGTTTGGTCAAAGGTTTGGCATTTGATGCTCAAAGGATTGATGGGGTAGCTTGCATGCTTCTCTACTGGAAGTGTTCTCTGACTCCCAACCTTCGTTGTCACACTCGGATTGTGCGATGCCTTATCAAGGAATTTGTGTGATCGCTTCAGTTGCACAATTTTTATATTTGAGCCGCCTTTTCAGGTTTTCAACTCGAATCCTCCTTTGGTTTCAAG